TGACTCACTGTGACCACAGATGCCACAGTCTGCCATGTTTCAACAGTCAGGTTAGTCACTAGGTGAAAAGTTGGTCTCCAGATTTTTAAAGAGGTAGTAATATATGAGCTTGTATCGATTCCAGCTGATTAGTCTGATGGCTTTGATTAGAAGTAAACACATAAACATGGTCACACATATACACACACAGGAAGGGCACAGACTTAACACCACCTTGTAGCAATGACAAGGTGTATTTATGAAATCAAATTCTACTGCTAAGGGTTCATTAATAACAGCAGGACTGATATATTGTTGAGACAGAAATGTATCAGCTTTAAATGTCTGTACTGACGGCTCCCTTTAAGGATGACTCATTGTCACTGTTCAAATGAACATGTTTGAAAAAGCATTGTGGTACATCATGGTGGGCCTGCATCATTTTTACCACTGCCACTTTATCATTGTGTGGCAACACCCACATCCTGAATGCATGTTGCAGACTCCTTATTTACAAAGTAAAAACTCTGTATGTGGATGATTTATGTATGTATGTCCTGTTGGTTGTATAACGATACAGGGACCACTGAACACTCTTGTCTGTGAGGGAATCACACAGCTGATTAAAGCCTGGACAGTCTGGTTTAGATTTCTGTCATGTGGAAGATTGTCCAATTAACACCTAGCTGCTTGTACCTAATATATGGATGCAGTAGCCCTTCTTCAAGAGCCTTTGTTAGAGGATACGGCTGGTATTAAATTCAATTTTTCTTATTGTCAACAAATCCCATGAAAAGAGCATAACCAACAATGTGTTAGTATTGCACTCATTAGTTTCAACACAGCTTTTCTCAGCCCTGAGCTTGTTTGTTCCTACTGAAGACATAAATCTTTATAACTAATTTATAGTTTCTTATTATTAAAGGATTCATAATTTCCTCATACAAAGTGGATGAGACAACACCATTTGTCCCTTTTACTTTTTTACATATTTCCAATTATGAATTGTTTTTATTTGTTAGCCAGTAGTTCCACCTGGGGGCCTTTATTTGATAGTAGCAGCTGTAGAGAGACAGGAAAGTAGAGAGAGAGAGAAGCTTCGGGGCCGTAGGTCGGACTTGAACCCAGGGCCGTTGTCTTTGACGCTATTTCTCTGAGTCTACCTCCTACCACCTACCTAGTCACGCTGGCTAAGCTTCCTCAAAGTGCTATAGAGGGTTTTTACGTTAGAGGTACGGTGTGTGTGGGATCAACTCAAAATAAATGACTGAGCCCATCTTTATTGTAATGAAGGAATATGTCACTGGCTGACATGTGGAATCCTTGATGTTTTTTGTTTTTGGACAATAATGGAGATATCTGGCACTCATTGTTGGTTTTGGTCTCTTCTTGGGTTTTGCTAAAAAGAAGAAAAATATAGAATATCACCAGACTTATACTTTAATTCAGGCATCATGCTGGCAACCAGTTCACACTGCATAGAAATGTATTTTTTTCAGAATTCTAAATATAAAACACATTTGGCATTACATTTTTTGGTTAAATGTTGCATCATCAATGAATCATAATGTCTAAGCTGTTATGCAGAAGCTATGCAGAGAACAGTGTTTTCCTTCAGAAATCGGCGTCATATTCTTTAGTCCAGTTGTATTCAATACAATAAACTTTGCTGTCAACAGTACCAGTTAGAAAATAACATGTCATAACATTATTTGAGTGTCCTCCAGATATACTCTCCACAGGACCACACAGTCTTACCAATATCCTCTGCCACAGTTTTATCATTACTGACACATTTCAGTGCACCCACACATTTCAGTGAACAAAGTGATAGCATTTTTTTCAGGTGGGTGAAAGTGATAAGGTGACTCATCAGTGGGGGTTGGTCTAATCAGTTTTTTCCCGTAAGCTTTGATGTTGTTATGTCACCCCCCCACTCCTCACACACAAACACAAACTCCCACCCAAACCATATCGTGTTCTACTTTCAACATGCCGCTATACATTAAAAGTCCACTTCAATGGAAATACCGCCACTTTGCTTTGGGTTCATCTTAACCTATTTCACATCCGTTTGTTTGTCACGTTAAACCTGATTTATTTTACAACCCTTTTAAGAAGAGTTTTGTGATTCTTGGGGTTGTCTGCTGGCCTGATTCGTGTTCCTTAACTCACGGCTGAGCTGTCAACCACTTTGTACAGGAAGTTGAGCCTCAGCAAGCATGGAGGTTATCACCTCTTCATAGTCAGCTGCAGTATGACTTTTGTTCAGGGGCACATGAAACCCTTACAGTAGTAGTGTGTAGGCCTCTGAGAAATAAGAGCACTCAGAAGCTTCCCACAGCCAAGGGCTTTCTCACACTCACTGTGGTGAGGCTTAAGGGTGGTCGTAGGGTCGCGCCCTGCTGAGATCCTGTGAGATATCCAGAATAAAAACTAATAAGAACAAACATGCTCACATGAGACACGTACTGGAAACTTGGGCTGTGTGACAGTGTGATAAATTGCAGCGATAACTAATGTGTCTGTTTTGGCGTGGTTCTTGCCAATTGCGGGTTTCATTGTCAAGTGTAAGGTTTATTTAAAGTGATAATTATGATACAGTAGACATTTCCTGAACTTGACATCTTGCTGTGCTTTGCTCATTAATGTTTTGTCGTGTGTCAGTAGACAATAACTTGTAATACACAAAATGAGGAAGTTGAACTTGTCATCTCCTTCTCTCGTGTTTTTCTCACTGGCTGCTGATGCCGTAGTAAGAATGTGAATGTTAGCTAGATGTGACGTGGAAAAGTTTTTTATATATATAACAAGTGACGTTGTGAATTGGTCAGTTCCAAGAAGTTGAAAGGTGTAGAAATAAAAAAGAAGTGCCACTAATGTACACAGCACTGGGTTTCTGTTTGCAGCTGGCCCACAAAATGGCAAGAGTAATTTAAGATTATCTTAAGCTACCCTATTATTTTACTACCTCTAGCAGGGAAAAATTATTTGTACCTTGCATTGTCCGACCACAGGTACGATTCATTTTTAGTTAGAAGGGTTTAAGATATAGCTTTATTTAAAGGGTAGGTTCACTTTTCTTTAAGTTTCTCTAAACATTATTCACATGTACACTTTTTATTATTAATTAATTAAACATTACAAATCCAAACTACACACTGTATAGTAAATCTGAAGATAATATGGAGAAGCTGCACCTATCTGAATTAGTGGAAGTGGGTATTTTCCTAGGTTACTATCTTTTTTTGTACAAAAAAACATTTTAGTGTACCTGGCGAGTGGCAGAGGATCAGTAAATCAAAGAGGGAATTATATATAATACATATGGGCATGCAAGTACATCTTTTTGCTTTAAGATTTAATTTTGAATTTCTCATGTTGCTTATTTCTGCTTGCAACATTCAGATGTAATTAAACAAGGAATTTAATATTTGGCTTGTATTTATTATCACTTGAATCCTTTTTTGTGTACTTGAAATACTGTATATAATTTGTAATATATACATTTTATATACATCCTTTGTTTTCTAATCTTTGCGATGTAGAAATCTGACAAGAACCCACAGGCTCAACGAGACCATTCTCCTGCATGTTCATGGTTGTGAGGCTTGGCAGCCGTGATGGCCAACCGTTAAACTGTGGTGGAAAAGCCAGGCCTATTCACTGTTATTGTTTGTGGAGGCCTGAGAGCACCTACGCCGCGCCACCGGCACATCACTCTAACCACTCTGCTGCACAGCCCAGCTGTAAAAATAGATAGGAAAGATTGCCCTAGATATGCACAAGCACTCACATACACACGTATAAGACATTAGATACAGACACCTTCAGGTGTTGATATGTGGCATTTGTGGGGAAGACCTCACTTACATAGGGAAGAGAAATGAGACAGAGATATGAAACCACAAATAGTACATTTAACTGACATTGAGTGAACATATAAGTTCAGTGAGCTTCCTTTTGTTCAGACGTGCCATTGTTGTCAAATTGACCCTTTTTGACCTTCATCTGATGGTTAAACTGCAGTGGGTGCTTACCTCCACCAGGTGGCATTAGATTCATGAAGAAGGCAGAATGGTTCACCAAAGCTCTTGAATAAATAATGCCTGGCTTGACTTTTGTGTAAAGATGAAGATTACTTTGAATAAAATCAGCCATGTGAAAAATTGTGTTTTCTTAACTGAGTGACTGTGAATATTGTAAGTACCTTTTTAACTCAATACAAGTACTTTAAACTGTTATTTTTAAGAACATATGAATGAAAAAAATTGCTGTCCATGAAAATTTTGGTTCATTGTTTCATTTTCATTCAGAAAGATTCATTTAACACCACAGGCCAAGCCGCACTTCTTCTTATATTCTCTGTGAGAATTTCTTTTCATATAGTACAATAGTAACTTCGAATATGACTTACATTTTGTGATGTAAGGAATATTTTTTTGTGTGTTTTTGGAAGCACCCTGTTAATTAGCTCAGGGACTTTTTCTCATTAAAACCATAACATTTCAGCCACTGTACCAACTAAACAGATTTGATTTCTATATAACAACAACAACAACAATAATAATGTGTGTACATAGATGGAGACAGTGTGAGAAAGAGGTGGGAAAAAAATCAGTGAATGAGAACCAGAGTTTGTTGTTGGCCATGCATTTCAAGTCTGAATGCAAAGTTCCTGTAAACCAATACTCCCACTGCTGCATGGTACAAAAGCGGCATACAAAGACTTTCTGGGACATTGAAGTTATTTAGATTTGTTAAAGAAAGGTTTCACCAGTTAGTATGTTTGGAATCTTAGTTTGTGGTACTTTACTCCCAAAGACTAATGTTTTTGTTTTTATGATTTAACAGGTGCAGAAAATGAGATAAACAAAACAATGATTTGATATGCTTATTTTCCACTGGCCTTGGTGCTCCTCCTCCATTCCTCTTTCTCTCTTCGGGTAAGGTGCATTGGGGGTGTAGTCCATGATACCGGAGCCCTCACCTGGGAGCGAGAGAAAGGCGGGCCCGGAAATATGTTGTACCAGGATAAGCAGAAAGAGGAGGAGGAGAAAGAGGAGGAGAATGGGGGTGAGTGTTATGAAAAGCAGCTAAATAATGGTTGTGAAAGCAACCATGTTAATCTCTAGTTCTTGTTGGTAGGGCTATGTGATTGATGGCTCAGCTATGTGTTATATAGTGCTCAAGGACTGTACTGGCAGACAATGCAGGTAAATGCGTGACTCTTTCTAAATGGTGTGGGTTGTTTATATGCTGCTGCTCATCGTGTATTTCAACAACAAAAGTATACTACATCTTTACATAGAGGGTTCATTAATGGTTTAAGCAGAATGTCCTTTTGGCTTCGCTCTGTGTTTATTAATTTGTTGATTAGCAACAGGTTAAAATATAATCATTAATTACAGTTGTTGTGCTGATTATTCCAAACATTACTCCTTGTAGGTTTGATGCAGATAATTGGATCTGAGCAACTTTGGTCCTCTCTCACCAGGATTGCTCATGCTGATTCCAACAGAGACACAACCAGAAAAGTTGGTACATTTTTCAGCTTTTCATCATATGGACAACAAGCCTAGATTTGCCCCAAATTCCCATTGGTAACATTTTGTTTATGTAAGCAAGTGGTTAATAGAGCAGGGCTATGGCTTGTGACAGTGGTGTCTGTTTAGATCAGCAGCAGTGATTTATAACCTTCTGTCTGTTGTGCTGTGGTGTAGGTAAGCATGGCAACGCAGTGTGACGAGTTACACAACTGAACTGAATCTTAGAGGGGGACATAAGCAGCTATTTCACTCTGCGTCCTTTATGTAGCATAACCTGAGTCTACTAACTTCAGAGTCAACTCAACATCATGGCCAAGGAAAGTGTTGAATCTGGTACGTCTCTTTTCATCTCCATCCTTTATTTTATATTTTCTTCACCTGCTGCTCGCTGTCTCTGTATCTCACTGTTTACTGAGCTGCATTCAGAGGCGAGTGGAGTTCAGTGTTTTTTATTTGAAATATTTGTAAGGAAACATACTGTAACATTCATATTGATTAACCCAAACTATCAGTGTCATATTTACGTAGCAGCCTGCATGTGATCTTCTATCTAGATAGACATTTTCTCCTATAGGGAGTCATGTTTCTTCAGCAGATGCTATTAGAGTGTTGCCTTCTTGAAGCTCTGAATGGGCGATTCAACAATCCCTCTAAGATATGGTTAATACGGCAGTACACTACGTACGCTTGCAAATTAATACACATTCATCACTATCTGTTGTCTGATGTAAATGATACATTAAATCATTGTGTGTAAATGTTCTCTGAGAGCTAAGAGTCAGCTTTTACGCGTGTCTGACAGGCCTCACATGGGAGGTGAGGGCAAACAGCCGCCACTACCACAAACACAAACAGAAGAAATCCTTTCTGTGCTTCCACTGGGGGCGATATGCGGTGAGTCAGTCACGTATGTGGTTCTTTCCCTCCACATGGTAACCTAACAGCTGTTGACATGCTGATGCATTTAGAAACAGGTAAATGTGTTGTATGTCTTACTTGTGCTTCTCTCTCACTGTCGCCAGGACAATTTGGTATGCAGCTACAAGTACTCCCCCCTGACATTCCTGCCCCTGACACTGTTTGAACAATTCCAGCGAGTGGCCAATCTCTACTTCCTCCTCATGGTGGTGTTGCAGGTCAGATGAAGGCTCTGCTGTTCTCTCTCACTCTGTTTTCTCATGCTTTGAATGTAGAAAATCTGACTGAAGAATGTAC